TTATAAAACTTATTAATAATGCATAAGCTATTGCTCCAATAAGGGCTGACCATTTAATCAGGTGATTGACCTTGTAAATCTGATACAACCACTAGTGGTTGTATCAGATTTACAACACGGTCGTCACCATTGAGACAACCCAACACTAGCAAAGGTCTCAGTTTTAGTGTCGCATCATAGACCTTCACTAGGTTTTGAAGCAATCAAAGACGGATAACAGAACTCGCTTATGCAACAGATGGCTTGCTTTCCATGTGGGATGGATAATTATTCAAAATGTTCTGTGTTGCAGTAAATTGCGCATGCTTAATAGGGACTAAACTCAGCAGTTACCTTATTTGTCATTTTTCGTCATTTATCTCACTGTAATTCATGTTAATTTGTGTTGGAGTTTTATAAGTCGTTTACAACATTCGCGTCTATGTTGTATGGGAATTACATTACATTCCCATACAACACGGCCGCTCATGTTGTAAACTATACATATAATACACATCTATAATAATATACTGGTAGGATCCTATTAAGATCCTATTAAGATCATGGTACGATCCTGGTAGGATTTCATTAAGATCCTGGTGGGATCCTGGTAGGATCCTATTAAGATCCTACCAGGATCCTACCAGGATCCTACCAGGATCCTACCAGGATCTTAATAGGATCCTGCCAGGATCTTAATAGGATCCTACCAGGAACTTAATAGGATCCTACCAGGATCTTAATAGGATCCTACCAGGATCTTAATAGGATCCTACCAGGAACCAATACTCTCAATCTATAACAGATGGAGACAGTTGGAGTGTAGTGTTGTTAATATTTAGGAAAATTAAGAAGGCTCAGGAGAGATAAACCACGTCAATAAGTATTCATTAATCATTAGCACATGTATATTAATCAACCTTTCATCCAGTTCTGATAGGTCACTACACTGCACTCCTGAATCTTTGGTTAATCTTTGYAACAACTGAAAMGTCTGCTGAAACAACTTGAGAAGAAACTCTTCAAACTCCGCYGGTACACAGTTCTTGGACAACAATTCATTGATGCAACTCATTGCCAAAACACCTAGACRAAAACARCATTTAATTGAAGTGATATACAAAAGAAAGAACAAGAAAACATAATGTGACTAACCTAGCTGTGGATTGCCAACAATGCTTCCACTAGAACCAGACATTGCRCAGCAACCAAACTCTGCAAAGTAAAACACAGTACCCARCAGCTGTGGAGTTATTGTACTRGACAATGGAATCCAACTAAACARATGATTYAAGCATTTCAAAGCCATAGTGCTGGTCTCTTCTGAGTCAGGATCTAATGCAGGTAGTGGACGTCCTATAYTTTGACCAACCTTGGGTGACTGATTGAGCAGCCTCCCTGCAAGGAGAATTAATGCAAACAATGTCTTTAGTATTCAAAGTGTTTAGTCATAAAATCTTACCAACAGTTAACTACTGAATTACAGTCATATCATTCTAAAAACCAGTAACTACTGGACTGGCAATTATACCCAGGGTTCGTGCTACATTTTCCCTACAAAATTCCAGGACTTTTCAAGTACTTTAAATTTAAGCACAAAAATATGTGATTTTCAAGGAGTATTTGTGAGGATATTTTTTGATGTTTGCGAAAATTTTAAGTGGCCATTTTCAAAAATAGCCACATTTAAATCCAAAAACTAACAAGCAGCATGTCAATTTTATCAGATTCAAGGAGTTTTCCATGAGTTTTAGTCATGTTCCTCATTTTCAAGTGCCCTTGAAAACAAGTTTTCAATTCCAGGACATTTCAAGGACTTCAAGGAGTAGCACAAACCCTGTATACCATAACCAACCAGAAACTACTGCCATACACATACCTGTAAGTGTAGGACTATGTGATGGTGAAATTCCATGAGTGGGAGATGGTGGAGGAGTGACTGCAGAGGCAATGCGTTTATGCTTGTCCAGGATATTGTGTAATAACTGTTCTATTAACACTAAGATGCCAGGAACTTGATGGAGAAGAAGTCTATGAAGTTCATTACGTCTTGCAATGCTCAAATCTTCCCTGGGAGAAGCCATCTCTTCTGAAGTTGTGTGKAGCATAACAAGACCAAGTACAGTAGTGGAGGGCTCTTGAATCAGCTRAAAGCAAAGGAAAATAATTTTCAGTGAACTATGTTGAGAGCTTGTCTTAARTTTCTTGTAGGTGTTAAGCATGTATTTTTGCATGACATCTTTTGTGCCCAATCCTATAAAAAATTCTTGAATTAAGTTTGCATCAATTTGCCCATTATTGATAATTTTATTACATTGTTTTCATTTGTGGAGTTAGTATTGTCATCAAATCTTGTTTCAGGGGAGATGTGGCCAGATGACCTGCTATCCTAAATTTCCTAAATAATATGCTTGAATCTCTTATTTGATTTAAAAATGTCTGTAAGCTCAATAATAGCCTTCTCAAAAGTAACACAGGAAGYCCACACTATCACAACAAMAACACCATTTACCTGCAATATGTTTGAGAAGAAGTTGTGATAAAAATGTGGCCAATCAATTCTGCCAACATCAACAATAACTTTGACCAGTTTRTTCCTCACAAACACAGGCAGGTTTTTATGGTGAGACAGCAAATATTGGTTTAAAAAATGACGGATCTCAGTCTTGTCGGCAGGCTGGACACCAATCCATTGCTTGGTGATAAGATTCTGTAAACAATATATTATGGGATACAGGTAAATAAATAATGCATTGCAATTGTAGTTATACACTTAKTTCATGTTGGTCACTGCAATTAAAGCTTGACGCATATAGTACCATGGGATACCCAGGGTTTAGGGCAATTAGGAAATGTTAGTCTTTGTAATACTACCACATTGTAACTGATGATCAATGATGGTGCTCAAAACAGTCATATAAAAAATGAATCTCATAATGAATATAAAAAACTGTTTAGAAACAAACAATCACCTCAAATACAGAGACAGCATACATTAAGACATAGTGGTTTTGGCTGTGCCCCATGAAGTAAACACAGTGATGCCATGCTCCAGACTGCTGGCCAAAGTTATGAAGTACTTGTTCTKAAAACAAAGCACAATAAAATATTTATATAATGGAATTTTGTTGATAAATACCAYGTCATATGCTTACCAATCTCACGTTTCCTGTGATTATCAGTTGTCCCACTAAAAAACTCATTCATCAARGMTTCAAGAGAAYGCAATGATGCATCATCTGAGGCCTACAATATATCAATGTTTTATTATTCCTTGTAACAAGGCATATCTACGCATAACACTGATGTTTTATTCATCAGTGTGCTATCAGATTTACGACACGTTGTTATGCCATGAATACAAAAGCTGATAGCATAGTCTCATAGGTCATATTCTCAATACTGCATGTTGACCTTTAGTATTAAAGCTAATGGTATCATTAGATTTCTTTGACAGGGCATCACCATAAAAATTTCCTCACTTGATCCCATTCATAGATAAAAAGATTTTATCCCAAATCAAACGTTCTTCTGATCTTTAACTCTGACCCCAGCTAATCCTGAGATCTTTTTCTGATCCCAAATCCCCAAAAGTCCCATGATTGACTCCATGACAACACCCCATGAAAAACTGTCATAGCACACTTTTCTCTTTTCTCATAGGAAAGTGACGAAGTCTCTAGAATTCTGCACTGTAATCAATACTTATTCACGTTCAAAAACGACAAATGAAACAACACAAAAAAGATTGTGCAACTATTTCCAGGGTAGGTTTAATTCGTGAAAACTTTTGGTTTGACCGAGGTGTCGAGTTTTTCTCACACGCACGTCCTAAACTGGGAAGTCAAGCTTGAAGTAACGCAAATAAATGTCAAAAAGTTTATCATTTCTAACTCACCATGATCTAGCGGTATTCGTGACAGCAATGACCGCTAAAATACATCATTCGTCTTCGCAAAGGTGACGTTCAATGTCAGCTGGCACCAAGTCATTTCCTCAAACTGAACCAAACCGAAAGCGAGTTTATCTGGATTTTTCCGCTCTTGTAAAGAATTGAGCAATGTTATGCGAGGTAAGTGCYTACAAATTCCTTGCCCTTGAACAAAGAAGTAGAATTATTTGAAGTTGAGGAAATTCACTGCATTTTTTCATAGTTACACTTTTACGCTGCCATTGACCTGCCCCAATGTAGAAACGAGGCTACAAGTAGCAACACCGCTGAACTATCACAGGTATCCCAAGAGAAAGGTAACTTGGCAAGCTGAAGGGAAGCAAGAGTTTTTAAAATGTTAATGGCAATTATAAATCTATAATGATTTATTGTAAGTCCAATCCGCACAAATAAACCACTATTAAGGTGTTGCATGCAAATCTGACGGTCATCAGATTTGCTTGCAACACCTTAAATGTAGTGCCGCTTGACTAACCAGACTCATTTACATAATAGATCATTGACACTTTCACTTATTAGACCACCCCAATTTGGTATTATATTTTTGATAGTTTCCTATAGTTWTAAAGGGCTAGGAGTTCATCATCTATGGTATAGGGGCTTGTTCCTCACTRCCTTTTTATAATTAGCGCATATAGTTAAGGACCAGAGAAGTGATTTCATATTTTTATTTCACCAAATATGACAAATCATTTCATAAATTCTTACTTGTACCCATTTAGTGTTTTTTTTAATGTTCATTTCATTATGTATGCAATAATTTCTTTACACATTTTTTATCATGAATTTAAAATTTAAGATACTTAATGTACCACTAACAGAAAAGTTAATACCAGTTGACAAGAATCAAGTGAGTAAATTGCATAAAATAGATGTTTTAAAACACCTAAATATCAAAATCAAGTCACATTTATTGTTTCACAAATTAAGCATGTGCATTCCAGCAGCTACAAGACTGTAAAACAAAATACACCTCAAAATGCGTTATCTTCATGCACTATGAGGCTCATGGTATATTACAGGTTCACGAATTTCTTGATTCATTGCATTTTGTACATGTGCAAATATCTTCATTTGAGATAACAGAAAGGCTTCAACGCTTGCTGTCAAAAATAGCAGGTGCGCACACGAAAGCAAGTCATTTGGGGTCAAAAAATGTGCATCTGCGCAGTTTTTGGAAGATCCAAATTTCTTGGAAATTGTCAATTCCTACACTCTTCCTGACTGACTCCTCTTCATCAAAAAGAGACTGCACTGGTTGTCTGTGCAGGCAATCAAAATAGTTTCTCATTCAACAGACACTTCAATGTTCTTCTTTACATAGTGATTTCAGTTTACTTGTGCATCTCTGAATGCAAGGGCTACAACAGCTTTCTGGTGTCCTTTGTACTCCCGCACAACCTCAGCTTCATCGACATTCCATAGACGWGCAATGCTATCAGATGATGCTGAAAACATGAAAATATCAACTGTTGATTAAATATAAATATAGATTAAGGTTATTTATTGATTATTGACTGATTGATTGACTAGTAATTGATTGATGGTTGGTTGGTTGGTTGATTGATTCAGTGATTAACTATTTGTTTGGTTGTTGGACTATAATTATTTCTTGACTGGTTTAATGACTGACTGTTAGACAGACTTGAGGTCTATTTACCGGTGACAAGGTATTGAGAGTCTTCAGAGAAAGCACAGTCCCACACCCATCTCTGRGTAGGATCTTTTAAGGTTGACTTCAATGAAAAGTCAGCTGTTTGCCATATTTTTACAGTCTGATCCCCTGACGCTGTTGCAAGCAAACTAAAAGATAATTTAAAAGTAAAACAAAATAAGTATTGGTAAAAAAATAATGCTCTGATACTCGTTTTTTTGAATAAGCTGTTAGTAATAAAAACAAACAGTATCTCAAATTAAATTCAATGACTCACCATGAATCTGGACTGAATTGACATTTAAGGGAGTATTTCTTGTGAGCATCTATTTTGGTTTTTGGATGTAATACTGTAGGATCTTGATTGGTTCCCCCAGACAGGCTCCACACATAACACTTCCCCTTTAACATCAAACATATTTTGAATTGAATAATTTAAACAAATTATTTATTTRGTTACACTTTTTTGTTGTAACTTTATATTTTACAACAATTAAAATATATATGTATTTGTAAGTCATAGTATTAGTAGATTACATTGAGATGAYTAAGTCACTATGCCCTTTAGATTTTTTATCATTTTTTAGAGTTTCTTGCTTCAGTTTATTGATAAGTACAAGAAAACCGCCCCATATAAGATATTAATTTCTTCCAAATAATGATGAAAGCTGTCATGCTTCTTAAAAAATACAAAAATGGAATGTATTGTAAAAAAAGCACAGACTAATATCATTTTATCCCAGAGTAGGAGGTCATGGAGTAATGTAGTGATGCCCAGGGTTTTGTGGTGTATAAAATACCTTATTGTTGACAGCTGCCATGTATGTAGCTTCTCTATCAATACTAATAGACAGTACAGAAGCACTTTCATCTGGAATCTACAATAAGATAYATCCAGTCAGACAGATGCTCTTAAAGACAGCTTGACATGCCACAAGCTAGACACTCTAGCCTTTGGATTAATTTAAAATAAAGGAAATTTCAAAAATTGAGCAAAAATGGGTAAATAGGACTTTGTCAAAGTCAAAATAATAGCATCAAAATTATTAGTAATAAACTAATTACCAGTTGTTCATTATGATCTGTTCTTAAATCCCACATATGAATTGCACCACTCTGGTCACCAACAATAAGTTCACCCTAAAAAAAAAGAAAGGCACATCAACATCTGATAGATAGATAAATGATATTCTATTTTATTTTTATTTATTGCATTACAATCTACATCTACACAACTACATTTTACAACAAGGGACAGCAGAAGGAAAACAGGGCAAGCCCAATAAGTTGCACAAAAAAGTAAAAAAACTAAAAGATAAAAATGTAAAAGTTCAAAGAAGGATGGAGTATTSAACTTGATTTATGGTGGCTATTACATGTACTAGTCTATGAATTTCTTGTTTAGTGTCCCTGGGTTTCCATAGTTTCTCACTGAATTGATACAATAGAATTCAAGATGTCAGCTGTATTAGTGAAAAGATCTATGGTATGCACATATAATATGCGATATTGCTCGGTTGTTGGATGATAAGATTTGCATACACATACCTGGTTAGGATGAAGACACACACAATTTACTGCAGCATTAACTTGAAATACTCTTTGACATTGAAGGTTTCTTGACCTATCAAAACAACTATACATAAAAATAGGTCCCAAATATCTATTCTACACATAGTCAAAGTAGGTCCCAAATATCTATGACACAAATAGACACATTTAGGCCCTTAATGGCTGTAGTACAAATATCAGTAGTTACAGTAGGTCCCACATTCCTAAATGGTACAACCATTTACCATAGGTTCAAGGTCCTAAATGCCTGTAGTACAAATACAGGTAGTTACAGTTGGTCTCACATTGCTAAAGGGTACAAATAGTTACCATAGGTTCCAAATAGCTATGATACAAATAGTTACATTAGGTCCTACATGGCTGTGGTACAAACACAGGTAGTTAAAGTTGGTCCCACATTGCTAAAGGGTACATATAGTTACCGTAGATCCCAAATCCTAGCTGATGCATCCTCTCCGCCAGTAAACATCCATTTCCCGTCCTCATGGAAACCAACGGCTGTAACATTCTTAGATACACCATCATAATTTACTACCTACAGCAAGTAAATATTAAAAAAATAACTCTTAACTACTACTTTGATACTTCAGTGATATTCATTGGCTACTGTCATGTCACTACTTACTGGATTAGCATGCGAGGAATTAATATCATACATTCTGATATGCTGGTACCCTGCAAAACAACATCCAGCTTTCAGTGGTAGAGTGACTAAAACAAAAGTGTTTCTTGTGTCAAACTACCTAGTAGGTCCTGAAAAGACCACACCAATTTGTATTTATATATAGAAATCAAAATATACCTGCTGCAGCCAGTAGTTGTCTGTCTGGTGTGATTTCCATAGCATTTACCTGGTAAACTATGTCAAGGTACAAAACAATTTTATTGTGGGTTCCCTGTGCTCTTAATTACCATGAAGTTTATAAACAGGCGTTCTCGTAGCTTTGATCATAACTTCAATACAAAAACGAAGATCTTAAAAAGTACTATATATCTTGACATACATTTTAAATACATTAAATTACCATTTAAAACAGTCTATTGATGAAAAGGATATCGAGTCGGGGTGCTGAGCGGTTCGACAACATATTCCACTATGTGCTTGCCAGAATCGTATGGTATGATCGTACCCTGCAGTAGCCAAGATAACAGGCTCGCTTTGTCCATTATTAGCCGTCATTATTACTGCCAAATGAAGACAATTACGCCGTATAAACTAAAGAAAAACACCCTGTTAACCGGCCGCCATGTTTGAACTTAATAACCTTAAACGGTGAGTAGACTGAGACCTAGCGAAAGCCAATCAATATTTAGTCGATATTCGATTAAATTTATAAAATATATTGATGTAAAACTTACATGTAATACCTATAATGTTGAATAATGTTATTGCTTTGGATGTTCGATGAATACATTTCTTTTGATTTACTATTGTTTAAATTTAAAGTATTAGTATAATAAGACAATGATATATAATTTTTGTAACTCAATTTGCAATTTGAGACGAAATCGAAATGGTCAGCGGTATTCCGAGAGTGAAATTTTCCGGTCACGTTGTTATTTCGTCTTACATGTAAATAGTCATGGGAGTAAGAGGGCTAACGTCCTTCGTTAATAATATACCAAGTGTATGGAGTACTGAAGGTGATCTACGCGACACACGAGTCATAATCGATGGTTGGTGCCTGATCTTCTACCTACATGGATCGATAGACAGTCGCTATGGCGGGCAGTACGATAGGTTCTCCAACAAAATCCAACACTTCTTTGATTGCTTCAGGAAGAAGAACGTGGAGACATACGTGGTATTGGATGGCCCTACTGTAGCAGTCGATAAAAAGCTTAACACCGTAATCAGACGAGCTAGTGATACCGTCAAGAGGTGCTACAAGATATCCAAGGGTGACTCTTCAGATGGACTTGTCGTACCACCTCTTGCAAAAAAGGTTTTTGTAGAAAAGCTGCGGCAAATGAGAATACCTTTTGCAGTGTGTGATCGGTAGGAAATAGGCACTGCACGTATTTCACCCGTTATCCCTAATAGGACAACTCCCCCCCCCCCCCAATACAATGCACATACACGCACAGTTTATTTAAATAAATCTTATGTTCTGTTCTATCTTCTATCTACGACTATGTTTGCACCGTTAAGATCAATATCGAATATATATAAAGAAATGTATCTTATATAGAAATAAATAGTATCATTTCTGAAATGATTTTAGTTTATTTTGGCATGGTTTGGGTTCAGGGGGATAACCTGCGAGCATTTTGTTTATGTTTAGAAATAAAGATACATCTCTCTATTATAAAATTTAGGCTTAGAACAGACGTGTGAGTGCGGACTGCGAATACTCGATTTCATCTCATAAATAGACAACAGGACCGCATTGAATGTCGGGAGATCATGCGCTGAATATTATTCACCAGGTTACTACGTGGATAAACACCACATAGCAAACTCTACTAATATTCATCAGAATTGAATCGTATATTCTTTGTTCTTATTTCCAGAGAGGCTGACCAGGAAATTGCATCCCTTGCTCATCAGTGGAATTGTCCAGCCATAAGCAACGACAGCGATTTTTTTATTTACGATCTTCCAGAAGGATACATTCCTCTTTCTCACCTTCATTATAATGAATATTTACTCCATGTACGCGTATATCATCATGAAAAATTGTGTGATTACCTCGAGATTCACCAGCGTCTTTTGCCACTTTTAGCTTCATTGTTAGGCAATGACTTCGTGGATCAACAAGTTTTGGCGCCTTTTAAATGTGCACTGGAGCCTATTCAGCCATCATCTGGGACGTATATCAAACAAGAAGTAAAGAGAATTTGCCGTTTTCTTGCAGACTCTAGCAACATCGGTGAAGCCTTAGAGTCCGTGCTCGACACTGTTGACGAGGAAAGTGAGAAAACAAGCTTGGAGAAAGCGCTGACCGAGTCTTTGGCTGAATATGCTATATCTGATGGAACACTGGCTTCATACTTTGAACTCGGTCACATCCATACTAACCTCAGTGATGTTCCTAAGTATGTAATCGACAGACACCGCGAAGGGGACTTCCCATCCAGGTACTTTGGTGTCATCTCTTGTGCGCGGCATATTTTGAAATTCCAGATAGAAGATGTCAAGCAAAAAACGGCCAACAGATGTTCTAAAAAACTGAGACAAATCATCTATGGCATTTTATTTAAGCCAGGAGAAAATGGAAATGAAGTAATGGAATGGGACCGGACTGGAACCGTAGCGCAAAACCAACGAGTAAAACCAGATCATCGACCAGTAAAAGGCTTTGGTGACTTACCAGATTTGGAAAGTATTGAACATATGGATGATGAACAGCGAAGAAAATTGTTGTCATCGATATTTAAGATGAAAGTCAAAAGTGTCACGTCACTGCCTGAAAGCAAGCAACTCTTCATAATGTCGATTCGTTACTGGATTTCACACGCCAGACCAAAAGTGAACAAGAGACAAGTCCAGACATTGATTTTACAACACCTTCAACCTAGAAACTTCGAGGAGATGCCAAGTTTTGATATTTCTTTGCAGCATAATTTAGCACAGTGGCAGTCCGTCATGACTGAGACTATTTTCCTCAACGAAATACTTTTAGACGCTTTTCCAGAACCAGACCTGTCAACACTGTACAATGGCGCCACCTCACAAGCGATAATGCATGAGCACTCACATGGTAACCACAATCAATTCATTTTATCTTGTTTTTTTGTTTTTTGTTTTTGTTATGTTTTGGTATATATAGTTTTTTGTAAATTTTATCTTGGTCAGCTTTTAAAGTACAGTCAGTACAGTATAGAGCGGATTTCGTATGACTGTGCAAAAGCACGGATCACAACACGGACACGGCACGGCACGGTCACGGAACCTCGCCTTCTAGGATTTCAAATGAAAGTAAAGATCATTCCAATGCATCACGGCTACGGCACGGTACGGACACAGCACGAACGTACCGTGTTTTTTTGCACAGTCATACGAAATTCGCTCTATCAACTTGTTTGCTGAGTCAGTAGCCTGTGGCCTATCATGGAACATGAACATGTGAAGTCACTACTCGCAAAACAACAGCGCGACTTACTTTTCACATGTCATGGCTGTACAATGGCTGAAGTTCTTAACCAAAACATCCGTTTTGTTTTCAGAAAGGGCACTGGACCAGTTTGTCAGTGAGCTGGATGAGTTTCAGATGCTATACAATGCAGCGACAGATAGATTGGAAGACAAATTGCAGCGCGGTGAGACCAGCCTTGCCGAAGGTGACGTCATTCCTAAGCGCAAAGACAAAAGCCAAACCTCTCATAAGCAAGTTTCTAAATCTGGCTCCAATCCCTTCGATGTTTTACAGGATTTATCTGACGACGACTGAAGATATGCACTCGTTTTACTATTTTTTTTTTATAAAGTTACGAATCATTGGAGCCTTTTATATAGTCCACATAGTGCACAAACTGACTTTTAGAACAAGACATTCCCCCTAGACATTGTTGCAGCTTGTTTACGACTGATATTCTTTCGTAGGCCTGGTTTGGCTAAGTTACGCGTGAAGAAAAAGTCAAACAAAACATTGGATGATGACTGATTGTTTGATTCGCGCTGTTAAGAAAGTTTTTTTTAAGTGTTAAAACGATTTTGAGGAAGCTTTTAAAACGCTAAAACGTTGAGGAGTTGCTTAGAGTCTACAAAGATCCTATGACCGAACAAACATGATTTCTTGGAGCGGATACTGGTGGGATTATCATTTTCCACCTTCTCCGATAAGAGCATCCTCAATGCTGGTAATGTAATATTATATATAGGGGCAAATAGAGACTTCTTAATCAAACTCACAACACGGAATTGCAAGTTATGCACGCACAAATAGAAATTTACTTTATTTACTACTTACTTTTTCTTTTATTATACAAATCTTCCAAAGCATATGAAAATATCATCTTTGTTACTTTTTTCCTACGTTTAATTCTACTTTATCGAGATATTCAGTATATTCTAAAGGAATTAGAGAATGACTTTTACGAAGTCTACGTTTTATCACATGTAGTCGGTGACTGGGCAAAATCAGTCTCAATTACTGAAACGTCTAGCGTAAGTCGTATACTTTTTGGATGTCGACCCTGGATATTGCTTCAATTTAATTCAAAGGTTGGGAAATCGGAATGAATTACGCTAAGAATTCAATAGGATATGGCATTAGATGAGTAAGGAGCAGGGAATTAGCCATGTGGGATATTTTCCCCCTTGGGCATGCGTAATCGATAATTGATTGTAATTTCCCGTTAACGAATCTTCTTCAAGAAGTAATAGACCTAATCGGCTAACGGCGTTGCTATGTACGTTGCCACCCAATTCAAATCCTGTGGGAAAAAGAACTTTTGTTTCTAAGAATTCAACTTTGAAATGAAAATACAACGAACAATGAAACTTACTCCCGGGTGGTTTGAATTGGGTTGAAGCCGATTAGGTCTATTGGACTGATTTTGATCTAGTTGAAACGAAAGAGCCACCACAGCTATTGGTTTTGGAGCAAATCTAAAAGTCTGCGCGCCGTATAGAATATATTCAGCTCTAGTAGGGTGACCTCATGCATCAGTCAATTGGAACCCCGGCCACAAACCCGGCGGGAGGACCGAGAGATTAACACACTACAGCCGTGGATTAACACTGTTTTAACAGCACAATGAATGGTAATGTAAAGGAAATAAAGAGTTTAACCGCCTTTTTTGGCCTCCAAGTTGAACAATACTGAAATGTTAATTCCCCTGGTATTCCCCGGGAATCGGGGGACCGCGGTTTCAATTTACTGACGCATTGCGGGCTACCCACGATTCAGCACACTATTAGATTTTCATGTAAACGATTTGTTCTAAATTATAGTGATAAGTTTTCGACGGACAATGCAATTTTACATTTTCCAGGATTATCAATCACTTTCATACTAATAGCTATGCTTGTAGTTCGCAAAGCAGTGTGTTAGCTTGAGATCAAGGCATTGTATATAGATATTCTATTTGTAGTTTTGTATAAGACCGAGTTCATTCTTTATATATTTTACATAAAGCTTAGCTTGAACAACGTCACGGAAGTATTAAATATTGCTGATGATAAGGATATTGTTGATTGGTCTTCCTGTGCCGAGATCCATGTGAAAAGGACAGGGAACCAGATTGATGACCACGTGACTATACTGATGTAGATTTTTCGTCTGTTTGATCAAACATACAATCGATCTCTGTCGAAAAGTCAGACAGCATACTGTTGATGTCTTTCATGAGGTCATCAGTTATCCTGGGAAAAGAGTCATTTATTGACCATTCTCAGAGCAGAAGGGAAGATCTAGGAATGGGTTTAGGGAGCTATCAGGGAGAGGAAAGACAGCAGAAATATTTGGCAGCATGTGCGGTCGATTGTCCAACCCACAGAACAATCACCTCTGGTGTCGTGGTTTATTTACCAACCACCAACCCATCGAGGAGTGGCTCATTTAGTTACAATGGAAAATGTATTGGGTTTGATTTCCCGGGACCTTAGAATCAGGTCGTTGCAACGGGCTACCAGAAATAAGAAGGGGTGGGGGTGTGGGTTTCATTGTACAACTTAGTGACCACACCCCACAAAGAGAACCTGATACTTACTGTTGATCTCGCTCCAAATCTTCGTCAGTAGTTTCTACTTGACTGGTATTTTTAACAGGGTCAGCGGGTTCGCCTAAAATAAACCCATCAATCAGCTATGAATCATTAGGGAATCAAACAAAATACAGGTCCTTACCAGTCGAATCCACGAGGTTCTCACGTGATCGTCTAAACACTTCTTTGATTTGGTCCTGCAAACCTGTCCATAATTAAAAACGACTTGAAATTAAGCGTGTGCATTGACTAGAATCAAAGAGAATGAGTTCTGACAAAAAACTACGCAGGCTCTACAAGACTTGGAAGGCAGACTGCGCATAACGTGAACTAATGCACAACCCTTAAAATGTCGTATACTGCAACGCGGCACGGCTATTGAAGTTACCTTCGCTATCTGCTCTTGTTTTTCCTTCAGACCTGTCCACATCGCTACTGCTGCTGCCGTCGCTCTCCGGATCAACAAATCGTTTGCGCAATTGCTCGAAAGATTTTCTTCTTTGTTCATAATATTTTTGTTGTTCCAATTCCTCAATAACTGAATCAATAGATCCATCACTACTCGTACTGTGTACACTGCCATGGCGAGTCTTTGGAAGCACTGGGGGTGGCTGTCTGGATCGAACGTTTTGCCCTGTAGTGTGCCGTCCTAGACGTGATTTAACTTTGGATTACTGTTTCTTATTCAATGAAAAGCGAAGCTTTTGATTAAGTGTTTTTTTTTCTTGTAATGACTGAACGATAAGCTGGGTCTTCTATAGGACAGGCTACGATAGACGTCTCACATTATCGTACTACATACTTATTGTATTGACACACTAAACGTTATCTCCAGAAATACATCGTGAAAGAATATTGGTATACAAAGACCACAGAACTCACGATTAACAGATTAACTTTGCTTCTTAAATCAACCATTAACCTAGTCCTTTAACGAAACGTCAGTTGTTTAACCTACTTTTACGGTGTTAAATTTATCTTTTTACACAGCTGTTTCTCTAGAAACACCGACGCAGCTCAAACTCACTAATTTGCCGCTAGTTTACACCATCAACCTAGTTCCACTTACAAAAGCTAATGTTATAAGGATTACAGCTGTTAGCACATTAGACTATAGCTTGGTAAAGTGACGTTTTATTCCAGTATACAACATGTTAAGGGTTGGCATGCAACTTACGTTAATGTTACCGGCATCACTTTATACATTAGAAATAATTATAGCATATAATCTTGCTTTGGTAGCCGGGGCAAAAACTGCCCGTCGTTTTTACCTATAGCGATCAATAATTAGCTATTACGCAGCTACTTACTCTCAAGTCTCTCGTTTTCTCCTTTGTCAACTGGCTGAGTGGGTTTGGGTGGGGTCTTTACCGGCGGTTTCTTAAACAATTTGGGTTTCACTGGAGGTGGCGGTTTTTTCGATGTCTTGGAATCGAATGACAAACCTCGCGAACGTTCCTGATTGGACGAGTAGCTCGTCTTGCTCTCCATAGAGTTATGCCGTGTGGTTAAGGGCGATGACGATGTGTCTTCAGTCGACGTTGTGCAGTCATGTGATGGCATTGTATTGTCTTGTGGGTCCTCTGASTCGTAATTAGTGTTGCATGACGGTTCGTTAGGTCTTGTGTCGTCATGTGATTGCGTTGTTGGATCTGCTGATACGCAGTTCGACTCCTTTGGCTTCATTGCTATTTCCTCTCGTGAAGGCGTTGAGTTTTCTGTAGGTTCCACTAACAAAGCATTGCTTCTGACTGTCTCATTCGATTTCGTGTCATCGATTGTTGCACCGTTTTGAGAGTTAATAATCACAGACTTATTGTCACTTGTCTCTACATCTACGCCGTTGTTGTTTAATTCTTCCGTTGTCTGTTGACGATGAGGAGTGATTTGAAAAGGACCCGAAGGTTTCTTATCTTCTAGTTGAATTGATGGATTAACCAGTGCTACACCTTCATTGTCCATGGAGTCGAGGATAGTATCAAGATCAGGTGTGCTTCCTCTAGTCTCATCTAACGATTCGATATGAAGCGATGCCACTGCGTTATCCATGACCTGCTTACTACTCTCCTTCTTCGTGTTCCTGGCAATGGTACTGACCTCCTCGTCTGCAAAGCTCAAATCAGCGCCGTCAGCCGGTAACCGCGACAAAGCGCTATCGATATCAGTAGTTCGCACTTCTCTGTCTTTTTCCTCTCGCAAATTATTCTCGTGAACCATGTCCAAATCGGTCTCCAGATACTGTTCTGCAGGGATAGCATTACTGGTAGAGTTCAACGCACTAACAGCTAGCCAGAGTTTTCGCTGATGTCCTGGTTTGGTGATTCCTATCGACTCAAGGTCTTCGATAGTGATATCTTGAACAAACTCCATGTCATCAAACCCATTATCCATTAATTGTGGAGTGTACTGGTCGAGGTGGATTAGTCTTAACCACGTCATGATATCATCCTGTAGAATTGACGTTAAACGTTTACAATCATACTTAGTCAACTGCCCGAGTTTTAATATTCTTGTTAAATGGTCATGCTCAAAAGAATTGAGAACGAGGCTCAGAGGGAAAGAAATAATTATCTATTGTTTCCACGGAGCCTCGTTTGCAATTTTTCAACTGAGTTCAACCAGAATATCGAAAGTGGGCTAATTAAGACAATCACATCAGTCTAACAACCTTGGTAATTGTAATACTAACAAAAATAATAAAACAAAAATGAAATCATTCAAACACGAAAACATGGTGTACATACACACGTAATTTGTGTGTATTTGTTCCATATAAACAAGCAGTGTGTCAAAGAAAAAACACGATATAGCTGCCATGGTGGATGCCAACAAATCGATATTGTGTCGGCCCATCCTATGTCTGATGATCTCTGAAGATCATCATATTCATCTTCTCCATCATATATTGCATGCTATAAATCATTTACATAATACTTACAGGCCTCTTAGAAGGGAACACATTATCTGGGAGCTTCTGTTTAGCGGAGTCAGAGAGAAGCTTTTTGCGATGACCAGTTTTCGTGATATTGATAGCAGTCAAATCCTGAAAATTGAAAACATGTCTCTAAGCTGAAGTTTAAGGTACTGCGGCAAACTCAAGTCATCAGATTAAGAATTGCGCGATAAAACATTATAAATAGCCGACTAGCGAATTTTGCCTCAGTAGCCATATACGAACGAATTCAGACGAGGTTTTTCACGATGTACTGGGCTTTATGGACGGCGTCTTGTCTTGATTAATAATGTTTGTTTGGCTACTGAGGCAAGATTCGCAACTCAGGTATTCAGATATCATTGTTGACTACGTTTTTTTTTCTAAAACAAGTTTCAGCACCCTTAAAAGGACTGGTACTAGTACAAAGGGTCACAAAACCGCCGTGTCGTTCCTCCCCAGTCCCCTTCGGGAAAACCAGGCTGCCGTGCAAACATATACTTGTATAAAAGGTTCCTGAAAGTGGTTACCTCGGCTGTCAGTCCAGTAACGCTAATCATGTCGAAACCACCATTTACAAAGTTGTCGATGTAGATAGCTAGTTTACAGCTTTCCAGCCAATCATAGAGTGCGTTGTATTCATTCATCTGGTGATAGGAGAAATAAATGGAAAATGGGAAGAGAATAGAATTAAGAACATTTTAACAGTAACGAGATTCATTGTAACCCTGAAGATGACCGCGTAGGTCGAACGCTAGGTTTTACTTTATTTAACACCAAGGTTGATGCAGCAAAGTACACTATGAAGTTAAATCCAACCTACAATCATCTGTTTAAATCTTAACAGTGCTTTATAACATATTAAGATTAATAACACGCATAGCTTAGTCTCCTCTCGTAGCCGTCAATTTCTTGCTCATTCCTATGTCTTTGTGGAAACCAGCCAAATAACGGCTGCGAGAAGCTACTACGCCTCGATATGTTTCAAAACGGTTTTTCACGCAAAACATGGAAATAGTAAATAATGCCAAAACAGGATTAGCAACTGAAAGAAAATATTCAAAATATTGCTGACCAAGCCGCCAAGAATGCGGTAACATTGTAGTAATGTCATTACAATGAGAGAATGCGCGCGGTTCCCACAGTGATCGATGTAAGGGGGCAAGTAACTGATGTCACAAGGTCGAATGGTTTAAACATACACGATATACAGTCATGGAAAACAAACTTGAAAAATTGATGGGTTTACAAACAGGACAATAACATGGAGATATTGACTTAAATCCGTCAACAAAACGTACTAATTAGAAGTCTCAGATTCCGTGAAGCAGACAGACTAATACACATTAATGATCGGTAATCTAATTAGTTTCCTTTGTTTACTTGAGAAATTGTGCCCATTAGATTTCATTAAAAGAAATAAAGCGTGAAAAGCAAGTGGAATTTCCCATTATAAACAATTAGACCTCAAGGTCGAGTGGACTACGAGTTAATAGTTCACGAAGCTTTACTTGAACGAATGGACTATAAAATCGTAGTCCACGAGTCCGAATTACAAGACAAATAAACACACACACATAAAAAAAAAACACTTTTCCCGACATTTCTCCAACTATTTTGGCTTTACTCGATGCAGCTATGGTCTAATGTAAATAGACCATAGTTCAGTAGCCAATCAGAATGCTGTATTTGTGATAGTCCATAGTTTGGTATATGCTAGATAGCAATATAAATAAAGTACTATATAACAACAGTGAGTTACCGTTAATCCTGGCTGCTGTACGGGCGATGCTTGACTTGATCGGTCAGGTAACACTGAAACAGAACAAGGTGACCTCTACTATGAAGCTACAACCCACAATACATGTGTACACATACACGCACGGTATGTAAACTGTTAAAACGAAGCAGTGAAACTCCGATTGGAACGTGTCATCACGTGAAGCTGGGGCGACGCAATGGGAGAGCAGCTGCGTTGCCCCAAGCGAAGACAAAGCCATGGGAGCGAAATTATAATGAGTATTATGGACGGTTGTATTTGATTGAAAATTGACAAGAAGAGAGAGCAAGCTTTTTGCCCCCGAGCTTAGGGGAATGTCGTGAAAGGAGGGTAGAGAGGAGGTAGCTGATTATAAATTACGGCATGCAAGCTATGACGACCAGCTTTTATGCACTGATTGACATCAATTGAGATATGTCATCGTACGATTTATCACTGTCGCAGTTAAATGTAACGAGGGAGGGGAGAGGGGAGTGCTCGTTGAAAACCGCTAGGGGTGGGCCTAACTATTCGCACGAGTACATTGGTAATTAACTATAACAGTAATAATTCCGCTTTCTTTTAGCTACTTTTATTAATATCAAAGAAATGGAAATCCGAGTCAACAAATGCTGTTTTGGTTTTATTATCCTGTGGCTATGGAAACGGAAAGACACCATTTCAAACATGTATCTGCAACACGCAATATGCAACATGTAATATTCCCGCCTGTTTATTTATGTTGAATCGTCATTTCAAAATCACTTATAAGGCAATATAATAATAGTGCTGGCATGACACACATCAACAAAACAAAACAAAAGAATTTTGAGAATTTTATAAGTAATTTCAATAAAAATATAAATAACTAAAAGAGTTTTTCAACTCAATCATCAGTTAATATTGTATTGAGAATTATGTAAACATGTTTTATATTTAATTTGCAAATTCAAAAAAAATATCGTCAGTAATTTAATTTGTTATATTTTTAATTTATACAGCCGCCATATTGCATGGAACCTCTTAGTTCATTGATTCACTATGTACTTGTTCTAGTTACAGCATGTATCTATCACACATCAAATGTCTGGCTTCCTCTTTTTTCTCTTGTCGCTTCACGTCGACTGTTATACTTCAGAAAGTGCTCATTCATTGGAAGTTCAAAAGTTGGTGGTTCTGATTCAGCGGGAGTTATTTTCCTAAGTAAAGTACACTCGGACTCGAGTTCTGTCACTCTCAGTTCCAAATCGCTGACGTTGCTTTCAGTAAATCGTAGTCGTTTTCCCATTCCATTGATCTCCGCTGACACATGATTGGCGGCTCGTTCTCTAATCTCACGAATGTTCAAAGTCATGAAGAGTACCTCAAGGTCTCTGATGCGCTGTTTTAGCTCATCAAAATGAATCTGAGTACAACTGTCTACAGCGAGGTTTGCTTCCGAGTTTCCATGGCTGCGTTTGAGCTCTTCTTGAGCCTGTTTTATCTGTTCGTTGAGCTTTTTCTCCATCATTTTAATGGCGTATGTCATGGACGTCAAGGAATTCATTACTCCATCCATGCACATTTTAAATGACTCTTGTAGTCGACTCTGTTCGTTACGATACATCTCCAGCTCTTTAATGATGGTTTCAAGGTGAACAAGCATTTCAAACGAACGAATACGATTCTCTTTCTCATCTCTTTCTCTACGTTCATACATTCCCATTTCACTTTCCTTCTTTTCTCTTTCCTCAGAATCTTCTTCAGTAGCGTAAACACGTTTGTCTTGCGTGATAGAGTTATTCGCACTCTCATGTTTTCCAATTTTCATTGTCCGATTCGTGCCATTATTCGTCCCTGGAGATATGCTATCTTGAGAATTCTGTCCCTCGGCAAAGCATTCCAGTTCTGCTATTGTTTGATTGAGTTGCTCCTCTAATTTATCAAAAATTAACTCCTCGTTGTCACAAAGACTGTCGTCAACTTGCGGCTCCTCGTGAACTACTTCAAGAAAACCTCCTGATGCATTATGGGTTCCATTGTAATTACCATATTTGTCTCTGTCCATCTCCCCTTTGGACAGTTCCCTCGATTCTTTGACCTCCTTTTGTTGCTTGGTGCTCTGAATGGATTCCATGATTTCATTGACAGTTTCCATGGTAACATCAATGGTTGCTATGTCGTCACGCATTGTTTCTTCACTCGTATCATCTTTGTGTGTAACGTATTCAAATAAATCAAGGTTTGCTTTATCAGCCTCGTTCTCATGTTTTTCAGAATTAATTTGTATAAAATCCTCTCTTTCACTTTTATCTTCCGCAGGTGTTTCAAAAGCAGAATTCTCCCCTGTATTTTGTCGAATATTGAGTTTAACATGAGAATTGCTCTGTCCTATACCTTGCGACGAATCCGAAGTATTGAGTTCTGAATTCTGCGTAAAATTACACTTGTTTTGAGCTTCTTCTTCCGTTATGTCTGCATTAGTGGTTGATTTAATATCTAGTGTCGCATCTATTGCGTTTTGCTGTACATCTTGCGTTACTGGCGCATCGTTTTGTGTGACATTCGTAAGATTCAGGTTCATGTCATGCGTTACATCCGTCACGACATCTAGAGTGTTCAGTTCTACATCTAGCATTGCATTTGTCATGTTTTGTATGGATTCTTTGATGTCTAAATTGTTTGATTCTATATCGTGTTGTCTAGTTTCTAGCGTAACAAGATGTAATTTTTCCGCTTCCTCCATTACACGTTTCTTATCCTTTTCTTGCGTTACGTGTTCTTCTTTCATTTCCTCCACTAAGCGTTGTTTTTCTACTTCTTGCGTTACACATTGTTTCTCCGTATTCAGAATTGTACGTTGCAGTTCCAATTGCTCTACAGTATCATCTGTTACGTGTTTTTGCTCCATTCCTTGCGTTACACATTGATCCTCCGTTTCATCCGTTACGTATTGTTCCTCCATTCCTTGAGTTCCACATTGATCCTCCGTATCATCCGTTACGTGTTTTTGCTCCAATACTTGCGTTACAGATTGTTTCTCCGTATCATCCGTTACGTGCTTGTGCTCCAATTCTTGCGTAACACAATGTTCCTCCGTTTTGTCGGTTACGTTTGGATGTTTCAATTCCTGCGTTACGTAATGATCCTGCGTATCCTCCGTTATGAGTTGCTTTACTGATTCTTCTACTGCATATTGCTCCTTCGTATCATCTGTTACGTGTTGCTGCTCTTGCGTTAAATATTTCTCATCCGTACTATCAGTTATGTTTTGATGTTCTTGAAATTCATGTGTTACATATTGTCTCTGAGTAACGCCCTGTTCTGGTTCCTGCGTTAGATGTTGTTCCTCCGTATCCTCCGTGACGTCATGCTGTTCTGATTCCTGCGTTAGATATGGCTTCTCCGTATCCTCCGTAACGTCATGCTGTTCTGATTCCTGCGTTAGATATG